GGGGAAGTTGGCCAAAACCGGGGACTGTGGTTTGTCTTTTCCGGAACCCATTCCTTTTGGCATCGCGCCCTTGGCCTGCTGAAAGAAGCCACGACCTTTATTCTTGGCCTTCATCATTGCCCTCGCCTGCGCAAAGGTGCGCAGCTTGCTCTCATAGACGCCATAGGCCTCCTCCAGCTCTTTGACCTCATCTACAGTGAAGTCCGACTCGCCGTAGAACACGTCCTCATAGCCCAGGGATCCGACCATTGCTCGTTCCACCACGCACTCTCCACTTCTTCTGGAAGCTCCTCCTGGTAGTAGACCTCGGGAGGAAGCTCTCTGCCGATCCAGTGGATTCGTGCATCATCATCGTCAACACTCAGCCGTGCCTGGGAAGGTAGATTCGCTCTCCGCAGCAGAAGCCAGCCGAGTACTTCTTCAGGCAATACCTCAATGGGGTTGATCTCTAGCTCGTCCCATGGTACGTCGGGATCATCGCCGTCATCTGAATCTTCTGAATCAGAATCATCACGACCGCGACGCCACTGATGAGCGCCCCATTGATGTTGGCCACCACTCCACCAGGATCTCGACCATCGCCAATCACCATCGTTTCCTTCGTCGGCTTCATCCTGCTCGTCCTCCGGGAGTCTGGGAAGTTCTGGGCCAGGATCAGACTGAGCTGCGCCTTCCTGTAGATCTCCTTGTTCTCCTAGTAGGAGAGGAAGGCGTTGACTGAACTGCTCGTCTGCTTTCGGGCTCTTCCGCATGAGCATCAGACCTCCGGGACGCCTCTGGCTCTCCAGATCGCCCTTGCCGGGATCCCGCAGGAGCTCCTCGAGGATGATCAGCACCTGGTCGTTGTCCAGCAAGTTCACCTCGAGCCGGTTCAGCGGGTAGTGCACCTTTGCCTTCATGTCGGGCACGAAGAAGTGACCGTTGCACCTTCTTATAGGCCTCCCTTACCTGTTGAGCCCACTGACTCATAGGTGTCCCAGGTTGTCGACGAAGCTTGATGAAAAGCTCTTCGAGACGGGAACCTGCATCGGGGATGGCCGTCTGTCCCAACCTGGCAAGGAGGAAGCGCAAGAGGTACTTGGTGCCGCTCTTCTTGCGGGGAAGCCTGTGGTCAATTTCGGAGCAGGCTGTCCATGCTCTGTCCGTCAAACGGGAAACCAATTCCGGTCCCAAATGCTTGAGCTTCCGCTTGGGCGTCTTATCGTGCTGAAGTCTGACCTTCCGCAGGTAATCGCCCCAGGTGGTCGGATCGCCGTTCCACGTCACGTACACGTCCTTGGCCTGCACAGTGGCCATCTCGCCCAGATGCCCGGCGAGAGGAAGTCGATGTAAAGCTCGTTGCTCTTCTTGTAGATCTCACACCTCACAGATGCCAAAGCTGATTATCAACAGAAGACACCCGAGAGTACCGGGGGGAGGATCCCGTAGACACCGAAAGTGAGGTAGCTCAGGACCGTGCCGAAGGGCTTGGTGTTTCCAAAGTCCTGAGAGTTGGGCTCGCTGTTCTGCCTGTCCCTGGGAAGACCCCGTACTTCAACGTTCTTGACGTAGGTCTTTGTCACAACCTGCGCGATCTCCACCGCGCCTTGGCTGAGCCTCTGCCGAGGCTCCGCTACCAGTTTGACTGGCAACAGAGATTCAACCTCTCTGATCGGTCAGCAGGTCACTTAGTGCAGCAAAAATTCCGTCACTTAGTGCAGTCAGAACCCAAGTGTTAAACAGGTCACTTAGTGCAGCAAAAAACCCGTCACTTAGTGCAGTCAGAACCCAGGTGTTAAACCGGTCAGTTCAATAAAATCAACAGGCCCAACGCGCTCCATGGGCTCAACACGCCCAACGCGCTCAATGGGCCCAACAGACTCAACAGGCCCAAGCTCCCAACGGGCTCAACACGCCCAACGCGCTCAATGGGCCCAACGAACTCAACGGGCCCAACGCGCCCAACAGGCCAAACGGGCTCAACGGGCCCAACGGGCTCAACGGCCTCAACGGGCCCAACGGGCCCAGCGGTCCCAACGACCCCGGCGGGCCCAACAAGCCCAACAGGCCCAATGGGCCCGACGGGCCCGACGAGCCCAACGGGCTCAGCGGGCCTACGTTGCGCTACATTACATTACATACATACACTACGGACATCGCATTTCCCACTTAACATAACATAACAAAACATATAACAAACATAACATAACATACACACATTACAAACATACATACATGCATACATAAATTACACATATTACATATATTAAACACATACACACATACATACATACATACATACATACATACATACATATATATATATATTATATACATACATACATAACCTACATACTTACGTACATAGCATACATAACATACATAACGTACATACAGGCATACATCACATTGCACTACATTACGTCACATTACATTACATTACAAAACATACATAACACTGCACACATAATAACATAACATAACAAAACATAACATAACATAGCGCAGCGTAAAAAAGCATAACATAACATAACATACATATATACATGAAGTTTACCCCATCTTCATTGTTCCAAAAAAGTCTTCCGCCTCGCCCTTCCGCGAACCTTCCGCGAACTTCCGCGATGCAGGTATAGCCACACTTTTTGGCACGTGTCTAAACACATGTAAGTTCTTGTAAAGGAAAAGTAAAGCGAGCCAAGACGAAGAGCCAGAGCAGGGGACATAACATGACAAAACATACATACATACATACACGTACACACACATACATACATTACATACATACTCACATAACATACATACATACGTACATAGCATACATAACATACATACACACATACCTACATACATACATACATACATACATACATACATACCATACCATACCATACATACATACATACATACATACATACATTACATTACATTACATTACATTACATTACATTACGTTACATTACATTACATTACATGCATACATACATACATGCATACATACATACATTACATTACATTACATTACACTACATTACATTACATTACATTACATTACATACATACATACATACATACATACATTACATTACATTACATTACATTACATTACATTACGTTGCATTACATTACATTACATTACATTACATTACATTACATTACATACATACATACATACATACACACATACATGAATGCATGCATGCATACAAACATACATACATACATACATACACATATCATATACGTACATAAATACAAACATACATACATACATACACAACACAACACAACGCAACGCAACACAACACAACACAACGCAACACAACATACATACATACGTACGTACGTACATACATACATACATACATAAATACATACATACATACATACATACATACATACATACATACATACATACATACATACATACATACATACATACATACATACATACATACATACATACATACATACATACATACAACATACATACTTACGTACATTGCATACATAACATACACAACATACATGCACGCATACATCACATTACATTACAAAACATACATAACACTACACAAATACTGTGATATAATAACATCACATAACATAACACAGCACAGCATAAAATAGCATACATAACACAACATACATATATTCGTGAGCCTTGTTCCAAAAACAGTCTTCCGCCTCGCCCTTCCGCGAACCTTCCGCGAGCCTTCCGCGAACCTTCCGAGATGCAGGTAAAACCACACTTTTGGCACGTGTCTAAACACATGTAAGTTCTTGTAAAGAAAAGTAAAGCGAGCCAAGACGAGCCAGAGCAGGGGGCTCAGCGGTCCGAACGGGCAGGCCCCACGGGCCCAACGGGCACAGCGGGCTCAACGGTCCCAACGGGCCCAGCGGTCCCAACAGCCCAACAGGCCCGACGGGCTCAACGGGCCACACGGGCTCAACGGGCCCGTGAAGGTGAAAGTGACTGCCGCACTAAGCGACAGGATTTGCGCCGCACTAAGCGACAGGATTTGGACCGCACTGAGCGACCGCCTGACCTCTCTGATCTGGTCCGCGCTGCCGCAAACCTTTTCACCTGCAAGTAGCCGTCCACGCACGGTGTGCGTGTCAAAGACACAAATATGGCCGAAGGAATTCCTATGTAAACCGAAATGCAGCGGCGGGTCACATGGTCATGCACAGAAGATGGAGGCAAGTCTAGAGGCCAGATATTCACACCCAAATTCCCCCAAGCAAGGAGTCTGGAAAGACAAGCAACCATTGCCAACTCCCTTTTGGCTCCACCGGCCGATTACACGTTCTCAACGGGCTTAGAAAGCCAATGCGTTCAAACATTCGGCTTGCTGAGCTTGAAGTCCCAGGTTCGAGTATGATCCTCCCGCTTCTGAGGTACTCTCCGCGTCTGACATAGATCAATGCACGCATAGAAACCATTGGGGAATCTCGGGAAGCCAGGTCATTCCATCCTCAACTCTTAAGGCTCAGAGCTTGAAGCACGCCAGCTACTCCAACCCAATTCGAGCCACATTTTCCTGCAACGCATCATTCCAAACTCTGGCGACAAGCACATAGGGGCGCATCAAACACATATGCAAATAATATCACCCCTGAAATGCTACACTCCGACTTGCTTGCGTCTGTTTTTTCCTCTATCCTCTCCTCCAAGCCTGGGATGCTCCGCACCCAACCACACAAACGTGCTTCATCTTTCAAGGTTCATTGTAAACTCCACGCCTTGGACGTAGACGCAAACACACATCAACGCTACAAGGAATCCATGCTGCAATGTCAGACATAGCGCCAGGCGGTTCCGACTTCACTTCAAATGGAGAAGCAAGTAGGTGCTTCTACAGAACATCGCCAACACGCACGAAGCCAGCTTAGCGACAGGATTCCCAGCTGTCCCGGTCTGGTCAGTCATGGCTTGCAATTTTTCTCTAGGGGCCCTCTGTTGGCGCGTTTGCAGGGGCAAGCACGGCTCAAAGCAGCCGCCTGCCGTTGAACCGGGCCTCTTAGGCGCAGGCGCCACCTCGACAACGACCGCCTGCGGCCGCTGTCCTCGGATAAGGCCGGCCAGGTCTTCCAACATGGTTTTTTGAACCAAAAACCAGCGTGGAACCTTCTTAATGGGTGAGCTCGCAAAGCCAATTTGGGTCACTATCAGTTGCCTAAATCAACGCGGTTCCCACAAATATCGCCAGGAAATTAAGGGATGGGAAAGCTTCCGGTATTGGTTCCCGCTGGAAGCCGTTCATACAAAATGTTACAACATGTCTGTTGCAGGAGGTGCCATCGTTCTTTTTTGCGTCTCGCCGCGTTGAACAATCTGGAACACAACTCCCAACACAGCAAAGCCCCGTGCCAAGCAAGCAACAACTTATTCAGTGGAGGGCAAGCCCCTTTGTGCGGGTACTCGTCAGCTGGTGGCTCCTAGAGTTTGTTGCTCCCGTCAGATCCACGTACAATCTCGAAGCAGTGAGCCTCGTGCAAACATGTGCATGAAACGATCAAAGTTCCCATGGCTTCCGTTTGGCCTTAGTATCATGCAAAACGGGATGCAGATCGGGTCCAATGTTAGGAGTTGAGGGGCTGGCAGCACTGTTCATGCGATCAAGCTGCGTCGATGTGCGCGACCCTTTTGAGGCAGCGTTGGCAAACTTGCCATGAATCGCGTGCGACACAAATTCTCATAGAAAGGCACACAGTAGCGATCAGCGCGCGCATGCAGGCATGCCTTTCCAAGGCACGCCTACATCTTTGGTGCCGTTCTTGCGAGCCTATGAACTGGGACATAAAGATTCGTATCTACATTATGTGGGATTTTACAAGATATTCATAAAGCTTATTAAGATCTGGGGCATAAAGATTAACTAGTATATACCGTACAATAAAATAAACTTAAGATGAGTTGTGGGTATGTCCCCTCTCTTCATAAAGCCCCTCTCCTTTGGTGGACTGGCTGGCCAGAATCTCGGCTCCGGGCTTGCGGGTTTCAGCACGGGGCCTGCAATGAGCACCTGAGCAAAAGAAAAGGTTCCGAGGACATGGGCACGAATCGAAATTGGTACTCCCACACACACAGCAAGACATGAGCATGCACCAACATTGGGGCGGGGGAGGGGGGGGGGGGTTGTGGGTTCACTCGTGGATCCCAGTCTTGTTTCTGGCTTTTGGAAGAAAAGTAGAAATTGCAGCTGCAAAATGCATGGAAGGAACACAAAGAAGGAGGTCCCCCCAAGAGCGGATTCCGGATAAAAATGGATCAGGTTTGAGAATTCAATCTGCAGAGTTCGTGGGCTTTGGAAAAACCGCCACTTTCTTCAGCTTTTCCTCATTTCTGATTCGGATTGGTGTGCAGGTGCATGTTTGGTTTTGCCTTTGGCTTTGGCATCAGCTCCTATGCCACCCCTGGCCAAGAGTTGCCTGTTGCGAGTGGCCAAGGGAAAGGGGGGATGAGAAAGCAGTGTTCTTGCTGGTGCTTGCAATCGGTGAATGTGGGAATGACCCCCGATTTAAACCATCCAACTGGTGGTTGCCCCGAGGCCTCTGTTCGTTCCATTTCTCATTCCCTACGGATTTCGCATCAGCAAGCTAAACGTCTCAGCCTAGTTTATCATAGGGGGGTTCCCCTCCAAAAGTAATGACTCCCCACTAAACCCAGGGACACCCCCCTACGGATTTCGCACCGAACGGTACAGAAATGGTTCTCGACCAAGCAGGACACCCCACTGCCTAGAAAAACAAGGCCTTGCAGCGGACGGTTGCAGGGGAAAAAAGTCTGAAGGTGGAGTTTTGCTAGCTCCTCCTCGGCAAAAGACAACTAACTTAGAGGTGCTCTTGCAACCCAAGCGTACATCTGCCATGTTGTTCCTCATGGCTTTCTCATGCGTCCCTTGGAGATGCCCGACCAGTTGGGTTTTTAGGCGCTCTTGCATTGCGCAGGGACATGGCTTTGCAGACCTGGATCAGAGGCTGGATTTGGGGACATGCGACATGTTCACCCCTTCGAAATGGAATCGAGGGGTCATCCCTGGGGTTCCACTTGTGGCAAGGTTTTCCCTTTCTGAAGGAGACTAGAATTGGGGCACCCACCCCGCCCTTAAGGTAGGAGGAATGTGAGACCATTCCACACCCAAAGGGGCAAGCACCAGCTGAATCACTTGAGGATTATTGCTTGCTGAGCTTCTTGCAGGCGTCGCACGGCGAACTCAACAGAAGGGTGCGGAAAGTCTCCAACAAGACTCGCTCCCCAAGCTCCTGCGCCCTTTGTGCTTTTTGGGACCTTTAGATACCCACAAGGGCGAGGGTAAATGCTGGTTTCAGGATTTCAGGCGTTGCGTCTCACTTCAAAGATGCGGAAGATGGATTGCTACGTTCTGTGAATGGCTTCAAGGATTCTTTCTCGTCGAAGCGACTTTGAAATTCAAGTAATCCTGGTCGGAATTTATCCAACAGCACATATCACAAAAGGGCTCATGACTCATGTTCCTGCTGCCCAGCCGTTTGGTAGCACAGAAAAGAAGTCATGCATGTTGGGGGGGCCCAAGAGAAACCAAGAAGAGTGGGGGGGGGCCCAAAGAGAAACCAACAAAACCAAAAGGGAAAGCAACACCATTGGGGCTTCCCGCCCCCAATCGCAGACCGAGGCGCCGCCGGCATGGAAGGCGCGTGCCGCAGCGTGGGCGACGGGCTCCGGCTGGGTCTGCGCCAAGGGCTGCCGAAGGAGGGCGTGGCCGGCTTCTCACCTGCGAGCGGAACCCATCTGGGTGAATTATAGTATGGCTGTGGGTGTCAAAGCCGTTTTGGATCCCATTGTTGGGTAGCACCACCCATTTTAGGCTATCCATAGCCATATTCAGCCTAAAATAAGGTGGTTTGGAGGCCATTCCCCATATAAACCACCATTTGGGGTGAGGTCGTGTAACACCCAGACCCATGAATCGATGAGATCCCTGGGAGCCAAAACGGGCCCGCGCAAAGGGCCCGTTCGTTTGCGCTTGCTGCTCAGAAATCGGGAACTTGACCAAGGTCTTCTTTGCAAAGAAGACCTTGTGCAACAGGTCAGCGCTCCTGGTGCTCTTGTTTCCCCGCCGACGACTTCACCCGAGCCCACGCCTGAAACGCGCTTGGACCTTGCTGGGCTCACCTGGCGAGCAACGCTCGGCTCTCGCGCCCTTGACTTGAGTTGTTGAAGATGGACTTCCCTTTGGTGTTCCTTTCAAACAATCCCAAAAAGGGTACCCTGTTTGGCGAGACATGGCGAACATGTGCATTGCGTTCCACAGTACGTGCCGCCTATCAGAGCCTATCGTTTGAGAGCAACCAATTTGGGCGGATTTCCAATACCAGAAAAAATTGGGATCCCGATGAAGGGAGCCTTCACAAGTCACGATGATTTGCTCAGAAACCACAACTCATCACAAGGAGCAGTCCCATTGTGCGCAAGTCAAGCTACTCACCTTGATAAGTCGAGTCATCAACCTATATAAGAAGGTATCACTCAATGTTTCATCTGGGACATACTCGATCTGTCGTTGGGAAAGAAGCCAGGTGAATGAACACAGTGCCAACATAAAAGCATCCGGGTGAATCAATTGGTTGATTCACAAATGCGACTTGTGCAACACCTGGAATGGGCGTGCTTTTCAGGGCAGCCATTTGGGGGTGTCGTAAAGGTAAACCAAAGGAAGGCCGCCCAGTTTGCGGGTTCAATTTTCCGCTTTGAGAAATCAATGAGTGCTTCCAGGCTCAACAAAATCAATAGGCAGTTGCTGAGCCATGACAATCTTGGGTCGACATGGAATTGGTGAGCACCCCCAGTGAACATCCCAATTCCACTAAAATAGACAAAAATGGGTGGTGCACCTACCCCAAATGGTACCATTGGTTTTTGACCCACAGCCATATACATATATATATATATATATTTCTCACAGTGGAGTAGCCCATTTCGCAACACGGCATCATGACACGTCGCCTGATTTCAATAGACGAAAAATGGACCAATCAACATGGCCCTGCCAGCTTCTGCATGACAGTCGCAGCATGGGTGTCCACCCCTCACCCCATCAAAGTCAAGTCTTTCCTTTGATCACGGGGCTTCCCCCGAGCATGTGCGTAGAAATCCGAAACCCTCGCAACCACGGAACAACCGGAGGCAGGTCCGATTCCCACACACACACAGACATTGCCACACATCGCAGTTGAATATGTTGAAAGGTTCATGGTTGGAGCAAATTGGCACTTCAAACATGTAAGTACCAGAAGCCTCGCAACCAATGGCAACTGGTTGTTCGAACCTAACTTCCCAGACCTCCACTAATCAACTAGGTTCTCCAGTAGAGAGGTTAGAATAAGGGTACCAACTTTTTTTCTGCAGTCAAAACTTTAGTAGGGGAACCCTTCCAACCAAAAAAGAAACGGTGAGAAAGGGCACCTAGCTGGGGGACCTAATCCAAGAAGAACCCCACAGCAGGTCTGGAGCTTTCGAGCGCAGAGTCTTCGTCGCCTCCTTGGCCGGCGCCATCTCCGTCTCCCCTGACCGAAGGGCGCGAATCAACGAAACGGCCGCCCGACGTTTCCGGGACCCAAGCTATCCCCAACATAACTGAACTGCCCTCAGATTCTTTCCGCGAAGAGTGACTCACTTTGAGTGGGTTAAATGGAAACTACCACTAAACACTACAAAGTTAAAAGTGTAAGGGGATGGCTGGGAGCCACCAAGATAAAACTAGCTGAGCTCACAAGAGCCCTATGCGAAGTTAAGGCAGGGGAAACATGTCAAAAAGCGTCTAAAGACGTTGACTATGGGTCCCTTTCAAGGGTAAGCATGATAAGACGATTCAACGATATGGCGGTTCAAACATCTTCAAACCGGTTGGCCCAAAAACACCTTCAAAGGCATCGACACAACATGGCACTGAAATCGGTTTCGACAAAAACACCTGTTTCCCCCCTCCCCACCCGCCCTCGACACAAAGAGATCACCTTGAAATCGAGCAAACTTTTCAGACAATCTTCGTCCAAGGATCTTGGATGAACACCCCAGCGCTGAAGATTCTTACGTGCTCATGCTGCAGTCCATTGGGAAAACAAGATCTTTACTCGGTTGCTTTCTGCTCCCCTAAAAGTTTTTAGCTTTTAGTATTTACTACGTAAAACCCATTCGTTGGCAACAAGTTAAAGTCCTGCCATCCAAGCAACATGCAGCAACGTTTAAGCATATTTTGCGCGCAGGGAACGTTGCTGCTACTTGACTGCAAAGCCCACGCATCTCCAACAGGTCGTTAGGCTCCAAAACCCATTGAGAGGCTGTGGAAGACCATGGCCGCACCAATTGACTCATGGAACTGCTCGTTCTTTCGGCGTCTGGGCTGTCCTTTTGTGTACTCCAGTGAGGACAGGCTAAATGCATGCGACTTATCTAAATCTGGTTGACTTACAATAACTTGCTACAATTTGTCCTGGACCGAGGCATTCTCAGTTCGATCAGGTGCGATCGACTCCACCCGACCTGCTGCATCCCGATCTTCGCTTCCTTCCGTCTCTCAGACTCTAGGAGCAGTCAACAACGGCACACCAGTGCTACGTCAACCAACAAAAACTGTCCCTTGGCTGGTCAAGAATGACTAAATTGATCGACTGCCGCAACGCCAAATCTCACTTCATCAAGGATCAATCAGCGCGATTCAGACCAATGACAATGACAAGTAGTAAGCCAAAACGTAGGGTTGACGCGGTATTGAGAAACCATTCGGACTCAGTCCGCACGCCTTTCGGGGCTAACAGACCTCATGTGATGAGTTGGTAACTCAAAGAAAAAACAAGTGGCTAATCCAAACTCCAAGTCGAAAGAATCTTGGATGACATTGCAGCTTTGCCGGAGATATCGAGCTGGTAAACATGTTGATGTATACGTATCACACAGAGAGCCACAGAGCCGAAGTTGAGGCTCAACGTCGAACGCTGAAGCTACCAACGTCTCAATAGAGGTCACAGACCTTGGTACAAAGTACAGGCACATATCTATCTGTATGATAGTGTGGTGGGAATGCATACTTATACATATATATATATATGTATAATATTCGAGAAACCTGAAGCTTGAAGAGGTAACTCTTTCACCAAGACCAGGAACTGTCGTTGGGGTACGTTCTTTTTTTCTTCATGCAAACTGCGAGTCAACCCACAAACCACGGCAAGTGCTGTGTCTTCGTGCGCTACCAGCTTACAACATACAGGATACTCATCGAACGAGTAGTCTTCCTCCGGGTCGCCAAGACTATGACCCGACCGTTTACGAGGCCAGACTTAGAACGCTGTCTGCTCACAAAAGCAAAGGTAAACTCTAGGTCCTCCAGTAGAGAGGTTAGAATAAGGGTACCCTTTTTTTCTGTAGTCTACTTTAGTAGGGGAACCCTCCCCAAAAAAAGGGTGAAAGGGCACTACTGGGGGACCTAGTAAAAGGTGGACAAAGTCTGCCAGTGTTTAGACACCTCTCTGCTTCAAAAGCCCAAAAGAACCGAGGGCCGACAAAGGATCCTTCCCGTCCGAAACATAGTCTGTATGTTGGCTCAGCCCACACACACACACACACATGCGCATCCAAATAAGTCGCCCCGCCCCAGCGCTTTGAGAGGGCGAATGACATACTCTATTTGCAAATGAAGCTAAACCACCTCCCATTCAGCATGCGCGAACGCTTCGTTTTGCACAAACCAGTTTCAAGGATCACTCATTTAATGCGAAACTCCGCTTTAGGAACTGGGGGGCTGTCTCGCCCAAGTGTCCTGTGTCCGCGCTGGTGGGCGGTGCAGGTGCCCTGCGAGTACCTGGGACTGGGTGGGAGTTGGGAAACCAGAAAGACATCCAGCGTTGGAATTTTGAGCAAAAACATATTCCCTTGTGATGGTTTTGAGAACACCAAAGGGGCAGTTTTGAGAACACCACAGCTGGAATGACTAGCCTATTATTTGTCCATCTCCCAAACGGTTGATTCCCCAAGGACATTTGCTACGGGGGTCACTTCATTCGAACGTTGCCGAAGTAGATGCCACGAAGGAGTTCTGAGTAAACCAGATTCTACTGAAACCACCTGCCTGAATGCTCCATGCTTTTTGGCAAGATGCAGTAAGTGAGGGCTCACAAACCTAGAGTGCTGGTTCCACTAAGCCACTGGCAAAGTCCTTTTGATATTTGACAGGGACCACTCTAGGGACAGTTGTGGAGGGCACAAACATGAATCCGTAACCAATCAATGGGGATCCCTGGTTTGTCACACAGCCAAACGGCTTACATTCGAAGGCTGCGTTCTCCGTATTGGCACTGCCTAAAACTGGTGAGGTACGCCAGTCCAGGTCTCCTTTGGAAAACCCGATTGCACCTGTACGCACTGGTAAACGCCAAGAACCAAGCCTTAAAGAATCAAAGGGCGCAGGGACGTGAAAAGGCGAAGTGCGCTTTGAGTAGATGTGACACCCACTGGATTCCAGGAAACCAGTCACGGTTACCATAGTGATGTGAAACTCAATGTTACCATGGTAGGGTTTCCTTGAGTAGATGTGACCATCGAGAAAATGAAACCAGGAAACCTGTGACTGGAGGAACATCTCCCGCCGCCCGTCTTGTTCTCGTCGTGCCAAGTCGCGCAGGCTCTCGCGGCCAGGCGAGATGTCGACGAAGGAGAGCCTGGCACGGTGGCCAGTGGCCTTTCCATCTGCACATTTTTCATTTTTATTTTTACCCAACAAAAACATAAAAATATGTTTTTCTGACTCGTTTTTTCACAAGCTGAATTAAGGGATCCCCAAGAAAAGAATCTTTGTCATGGTGAGCTCGTCATGCCCCCAGCTGAGCTCGTTATAAAATACGCAGATGTTCATGAAAGCTATACTTTTTCGGGGTTGCTCCAAAATTATCGCACAAAGTAAGCGTAGAAAAGTCAGTCAGGCAAGGGAAAGAGGCCAGTATACAGATCTTCTGGTTTGGTGCTTACGAGCTTCGGAGCAAACCTGTCTTTCCTTCGCACAATCCAAACATGGGTGCAAAAAATCTCAACCAGCAAACCATGGCTGTGGACTTTGCCTGCAAATTTCCAACCGGCTGGTTGGTGGACATAAATCCACCAAGCAAGTTGCAAGTTGAAACGGTCAGATGAAACCCATACCCACAACATGCCCCTAAACAAAAGGAAGACTAGGCTGGAAAAATAATGACGTCTCCCCTCCAATCGCAGCGCAACTTAACAACAACTTAAGGGGGCTGGCTGCTTTCTGCCCATTCACCCAGCTCAATGAGCGCATTACAAAAAAACAATCAATCTACTTTGGAATGTCTCATGATCAAGTCTCTTTGTCTCTGTCGCTATCTCCACTTAGTATTAGTCTCTTATTGCTTTTGCTTTCTCAAATCATCTCTGTGTGGAACCGCCATTCGGCCTCTCCAGCATCTGTAGAACTTGCTTCTCAGCTTGCTCTGCAACCTGCGCAGCAACTGAGCAGCTTCCGGCCACGCGCAAACGAATGCCATTGATCCAGGGTTCCCTCAACAAAGAGGACTCCTGGGTTACATTTCTCTAACTGTTTCAGCCACCCCAGTTGCCCTGAGGACTGGTAGACAAAGGAGACCCTATCCGGGGTTGAGTGACACTGAACAACCGAGATACGGAGATTTGATTCTTGATAGGTCGACCCATCTTGTTTGTAGATGTTCAAACACCAGCTGTTCAAATGTCCCCCCGGTTGCATTCTGCTCCCCTGCTAAAAGTTACAACTTTTAGTGGTTTAATGGAAAACCCATTAGTTGGCAAACAGTTAAAGTCCTGACATCCCTTGGCAAAATGCACCAAAGAACTGTTCCAATGTCCTCTTTGTGGCTCCGCTTAAACAGTCGCTGAGGTACTGTCGTTGAAATAAATTGTGGGAAGTGCCCTCTTCTGTAGACCAATGGAAGGCCTTCCAATGACGGAGTTGCCATTGCAAGGGGAGGTTCTTCCCCGCCAGCACAGAAGGAGCCAACCCGTCCGCTGGTGCGCTGATCCGAAGATCCGATGATCTTCGTTCAAGTGGGAGGGGAATGGGGTGCCGGGTGCCAGAACCAACAGAATGGGATTTGGGAGCAAACATCTTCAAGTGCCTGGTGCCAAAGGTGCGTCACCAGTTCTGGCAGGCAAGCCACGAAAGTGAGAAACCAGGACAAACCATGCAACACCTGGAGGCAAGGAAGCAGGAAACCAGCCTGCTCAAGCGGCAGGGAGCGTTCAGAGTTCTCTTCGACAAGCCTTACCAGTCGGCTCATTTGCCCGCCTCGGGCCATTGTGGCTCATCCGCCTCGCTGGTCGGACTACCCCTGGCACACGAAAAACGGATCTTGAGCGACTCCACTTGGCCTGGGTTGTTCAATTCGACCTAAAGAAAACCAACATGAGATGTACGTGGCCGCAACATGGACACCATCCAGAAGCTACCTTGAGGCAAATGGTACAGAAATTGCCAGTCAGAATTCATGTTGGTGGCTAGGAGGGTAGCATTCGCCGATCACATTTTCTGAGGTACTCCACATTTGTCAGGGACTTGCAGTAATAGTAAGGCCCTTTCCAGAACACCTTGACAAGCTCAGCTCTGCTTGGCACGGCCAGAGCAAGGGGATTGAATCAAGCCAGTACCTTCTTGTGGGTGCCGGGATTGCCTCCAATCCATTTTCGAGGGGATTCCTCTGATTGGTATGGTTGTCCGGACTCATCCGAAGTTAATGTCGACCCTGGATTAATCAACCTGCTGTTCTTCAAAAGGGGGTGTTCCCCCGCAAAGCGAAATGGGACACCCCTATTCATCAACTAGGTTCTATCAATCCGGGGTCAAAACTACCAACGGGTTCGCAAGTGTCCAACCCGACCTACAACGAAGCTTTCAAGCAGGTCCCTCATTTTGCCTCGCTTTTTGGGGTGGATGTAAGTGAATCCTGAAACTCGCCTCACCCAGTGGACATGTGGTGGTTCCTTTTGTGAGGGTACGGCACTTTGGGGATGTTTTTCCTGGAACCCCCCAAAAAAACATGCACTTTGGGGAGCTTTTCAAAGGGCACTGTTGAGGGTATCATTGCGGCTGTTTTAAAGGGAAGCAACAGGCAAGGGGCGAACAAAGGGGGGCAAACCATTTTGGGGTCTCAAAACAACACGCAAAGCCTTTGAAACACCCATTGTGGAGTTGAGCCTTGAAACACAGATGCCTGACCTTTCCCTTCGCCGCGCGCCTGCAAAGGCTGGGCACTTTGTGGAAGATGTCTTCCACAATGTCCTCCAGGGTTGCTCCGGGTGGAACAAGAATTGGCCCTAAGGGTAAAACAAAGGACACCCTTCATCCTTTTTCCACCCAGGGTTGGTCATTTGGGTGTCTGTATGTCAAAATCGGTCCCCAACTATGGCTTTCCTTTCGGCTTCCCTTTTAACAATCCTGAAAGGATACCTTGGAAAGAAACAAGAAACCACATGGAACAGCGGCATCCTCCAACAGCTCCGCTCGCCAGAGGCTGTGCATGGAGGCCCAAAGTTCCCGAACCTCAGCATGGATGTCGCGCCTCGAGCCCAACTCTGGGAATCGGGGCCTTTTTCTTTTCTGCCAGCTTTTGCCAAGAAGCAAGAACACATTTCAGCTCTGGTACAAATGTAAGCTTGACATGTCAATCTGTAAATGACGATGATGGAACAGATCTGCCGACCTGTCAAAGGGAAATGTGCGTGTCTTCAAATAGATTCCAGGTAATCCCTTTCAGCCAAAAAATCACAGAACATGATCACCTTGCCGGGAGATGCAATCTTTCGAACCCCCAACTGTTGGAGACCCCCTAACAAAGAGCAGCACGTTTACTTCTCCCTGGCCCGACAACTTCGGAAACCAGACCGACAACTTGGGTACCTAGCTTCTTTTTGGGGGCGTCGGCTCCTGCGCGATTTCCGCGGAATGGTGGCCTAGAGCAACCTGATGTTGACCCAGGATTAATAAACCCGTCCCATTGTTAGGGGGGTGTTCCCTCCAAAATTGGTCTGAATCCCCACTAAAAGGGGACACCCCCCTATTAATCAACCAGGGGTTTATTAATCCGGGGTGAACATTCTTCTGCAGTTCCAAAATGCGGATTGGATCCAAAACGGCCGGGAAGCCGCTGTTGATTTCGCTTCACATATCGAAATGAACGAACCTTGTTCCACTGCTGAACCTAAACAAGCGGGCCCCCAACATGCTTCGTGTTCGGGTAGGTCTGGCAACAAAAACAAGACAAACGGTATCTATCCCATGTCGCGCCCCAACGACTGCTTCTTGCACATCAATGTCACACCCCCAAGTGCTGTCCCAAACAAGCAGCCGTAGGGTGCTGTTGTGGGCTTCTCTTTAGGAACAAACAACGAGAAGCACAAAGCACCGGTGATTGGGAGATCTCAGAAACAACTGGCGGAGTTGTCCCAGGTAATTCACGCCACCCGTTTTTCTCGGAGTGGTCACCTGGGGCAGCCGCTTGTGACTGTTCCAACCCCCAGCTGCCCGATGGCAGAAACGAAAACCCTTCTTGGGGTTGGTCAGTTCCAGCGGGTCACAAAACAAAAAAGGACAATGCCACTAACAATGGAGCAACGGTCCTGGGTAAATACGTCATACAGAGTCATACACTATCAACAAGGAATCCCGAAGGAAGCTGCATGGGAGGCAAACCGCCAACATGGGAAGTTGCAATTCAATCTACACTGTTCAATCAGCAACCTATTCGCTGATCTGAGTTCACTGTCCAAAGTGACCAATGCTTGTTGGGCCTCGAACCGACTCAAACATGACGAAGAAAGCTATCAACAAAAGCTTCAAGTTGGCAAACTGGACAGGTTTACTTCAGGTTTCCATTTCGAGATCTACTTCTGCGCTGATTCCACGGACCTTTCATGTGGCCGGAGCGACCTGATTTTGTGACGCCAAAGTTCGAGTGGAGTTCCATTGGACACAAGGACGCCCTGCTTTGGGCTGGTTGATCTTAAAGGGAAGCCACGTTCGAAAAACACTAGCCGGGTATAATAGAAGGTCTAAGACATGCTGAAGAATCAAAAGGCCGGCGCACATACACCTTCATCTACCAGGGTTTGAGTATGGCTCACTTGGAAAAAAGGGGCACGAAGCCTGGAACGTTTGGCAACTATTCTGAAACAATCTGTGCCACTCGTCTTTGTCACAACCTGTTGGGCCTCAGGGCTTTTTGAATACCCAAAATGCCACCAACCCAAGCGTCTGAGAAAGAAACAACATTTGTTTCGGGGGTGGTACCTCCCTCCCACCATGTGTTGCGGGCCAAGCTGGGCTATCTCGAGGGCACCTTTAAACCTAACGAGCTGCTTGTCTGCCTGCTTCCACTCTGAAAAGGAACTCCCAAACACAGCTTTCACCAAAATGGATTTAACAAATTTAGCGGATGCGACTGAATCCATTTGGGTGTGGCTCAAAATTAAACAGGAGGGGCCAACCGCAGGTTTTGGTCCATGTTTCCACTTACCAGGGCAACCCATTTTGGTACCGGTTTTTGGAGCCAAAGCCATTTAAGGACTTAGCGGATGTGAGGCATGCTGGACTCCGGGGCAAGCCCAGCCGAGGCCGGCGCGTGGCTCTGCAGGGCCTCGACGGTCGGGTCCTCCAGTGTGAGGTGGTCCAGCAGCACCTTGCGACGAGTCCGAAGGCGTCGCAGTCGGCTGAAGTCTCCGAGTTCAACTCCAACGCCTTCCACAGCAATTCGTTCAGGACATCCACCCTAAACGATCAACTGGAGCTGGAAAAATAAACCCGTATTAAAACTCTTATCCCAAGTTGTTTTCATTGCAAATCCAAGCGGCGGTCTTCATAAGCATGAGGTCCCCCAATAGCATGCCCCTTTAAGTGTATGAGGTCCAAATTTTCTGCTAACAAATTCACTCGGCAAAATTGCTGGGATCTGCAGACAAAGAAAAAAACACAAAATACAGAAATGGGCCACTCCTGCTCCAAGCAGTTTGGGGGCATCTGCGGGCTGCGCGCGACTTGCGCCAAAACTTGTTAATCTTTGGGCCATGGTGATGATGATGATGATGATGATGATGATGATGATGATGATGATGATGATGATGATGATGATGATGATGACTCATCACTGCGTCACTTGCGCTTCACTTGCGCTAAACTTGCGCAGCCCTATGTTTGACTTGCGCGGCCGCTCCTGCAACACACTCCTGCCCTTCAAATTACAAGCGGTGTAGCTGAATTGATACGTCCAAAACAACTGGGACCATGCCATTGACACATACGGGTTTTCTTTTTCGGCTCAACTGGCTTGATTTGGCCTTCTTGGCGCCCCAGAAGGGTTCTTGTTTGCCGAGCCATGCTGGCGGAAGGAAACAGAAGGGTCCAAATTTGCCCTCCCGCAGTTGGCTTGGCTTGGTGGGAGAAACCGACCCAAGCTCTCGACCAGTTTTCTTGTCACTTCTTGCAGCCGCGACTTTAAACACGGCGCATGAGCCACCGCCGAATTCCCTCCCCCGCCAAACCGCCCCCCCCCCCCCCGTTTTTTGTGGATTGAATGGAATCCCCGTGCCTCTCCCAAAATGACAGTGGGCATCATTTACACACTGTTCACCAAGCATGTTTTTTTTAGGGTGCTCCGTCCAGAAAAAAACACAAAACACATTCTCCAAAAAGGATGCGTGAAACAGGCTTCGGTTTGCTTTTTGCGTCCTGACAATATCCCACCCAAAAGGGTGCCAACTCCAGAAACATTTGCCCTTGCCATTGGTGTGCATTGACACCCGCCCCAAACCTGGTACCCTCAACAAGAAAGGAGCCCAATTCCCCACCCCCACCAAAGAAAGAAAAATCAGAGAAAGAACACGCAACAAACAAAGACAAGCACAACACAGTCAGTAGGCCACCACCTCCAAACCCCCATCCCACCTGCCGCATCGCCTTCCTGAGGCATAGCCGCACCTCCGCGCCTTGAGCTGTGCACAGGGAGCCTTTTAGGCCTTCCGATCCAACCAAAACCCCCCCTGGGTTCCCAAAATGGCCCCCTACTTGTGCCACCGGACATCTTGCGGGAGAGATCACGCTGGATGAAGGCGAAAAATTGTGAATGGGCAATTGTTGGGGGTTGATAAAATCCCTCAAGCTAAAAACGGGAATCCACAGTGACGAAGCTTCAAGGGGAACACAAGGCTCGTGATAATTTGCCCAGACATCATTTCAACATTTTGTAAATTCCTAGTTGATCAAGAGGGGGTGTCCCATTGAAAGAGGGATCCTTCAATTTTGGGAGAACCACCCCCCCCCCCCCCCCAATAATACGCTTGGTTGAAAACAATCCCTTTTGGCCCTTTGTGGAGTTGCAACGTGCACCAGCTCGGCTCCGTTTCATTTCCGTTTGTGTATTTTCGAGTTCCCACATTTTGAATTCATCTTCTCAGGTCCTGGCGCATGCTTTTTGGGACTCACGCTTGGGGCCGGAAACGCTTCCTCCTTCGGCGTCCTAGAGGAAGCCTCGTTGAATGTCATGGCGTGCAGCCAAAAATATCCGCACCAGGCCCACGAGAATGTCAATTTGAAAGGTAAATTCAAACAAACATGAGCCGGCATGATAGAACCCGGGGCGTTTGCTTGGTTGAAATCACCAGTTGCTCACTCACTTGCTTGGAAAGCTAATGGACATTCAGACAGAAAAGCACCGCCGGTTCCAACACAGGTCCCACTAAACTGGGTTTTGGCTCCACGGGATGCAGATTCCATGATCCGCACTGAATATTTGTTGAGTTGTCAGTACGACCTCCATTTCCCAATGGTCATTTGAGTCAGAATCAAAACCTGGTACAACCATGGTGAACCCAGTACCATGTAAAGAATTAGAAAGGCGGCCGCAACTCTTTCCGGGGACTGGCCCTTCCTAACCTTCACCCACCCGGGTGTTGAGCACGTGGCTCATTGGCCCATTTGCGAAACCGTGCGCTCCGGGCCCCGATGCTTAGGATCCTTGAAGAACAAACACCGCTCAAAAACTGAGGCGCCGGCTATGGGTCGCCAAGTCCTTCTGCAACTGTGTGTCTTGGTGCTCGGGAGCGTCCTGTAGGTAGGTCAGGAGGCTCACATCCTTGCCGTCCTGACGGCTCAAACTTTGCTGTCAACAGGATGGGGTGATGCCAAGTCATCAACCTGCCGCAAGAAGGACGGGCCCCGCCATAGTTTAGTGGGTGAGATCCATTCATACTGTGGACGAAATCCTGCACCAGTTGCTAGGTGGTTTATCTCATTACTTCCAGGGTTTCGTCTACGCCAAGTGCGAAATGGACAGTAGGTCCATCCACTGTAGGTCACTCAAAACTTATCCCAAAGAAGCTGAAGGGCGCCGTTTTGTGAGTGTTTTGACCAGTGGCTCGGGGCCCCTTTTGAGTGTGCATGACTGGGAGAACTCTACACCCCGAGTTACAGGCACAGAACCTTCCTCTTCTCCTTGGATTGCCTTAGCAACTAACATAAACATGTCTTTCTGATACAACTTTCGGCTTGCTTGGCTTCCTGTTTACTTTTTGGCTTGCAAATTTTGGTTTCCTTTTCAAAACAATCCCCGAGAAATGGTTTTGGGCTTTTCAAAATCCAAAATTCCGTAGCCCCAGTGAACTTCCGTAGACCCACAGCCAAATCGGAGTCCTCTTTGCTGGTGGCGTGCAGCCGCAGTTCCTGGCGGTGCGACATTCGCTGCTGCCGCAGCTGCAGCAGCAGCTGCTTGTTCTGCCGCGACACCCGCGCCAGCTGCCTCGGACGAAACAGATGCCAACAGTTCTGGGGGGGGGGGAGGGACGAAAGAAAGAAAGAACAAAGGAAAAAAACAACGAAAGAAATAATGAAAGAAAGAAAGAACAGAAAAAAACAAACAAGAGAAAGAAGGAAGAAAGAAGGAAGAAAGAAGGAAGAAAGAAGGAAGAAAGAAGGAAGAAGGAATAAAGAAGGAAGAAAGAAGGAAGAAAGGAAGGAAGAAAGGAAGGAAGGAAGGAATAAAGAAAGAAACCAAGAAAGACATAAATAAAGAAATACATAAAGAAATAAAGAAATAAGAAATAAAGAAATAAGAAATAAATAAATAACAAAAATAGAAAGATCTATTGAAGCAATAAAGAAAAAACAACGACAGACATAAAGAAAGAAAGAAACAAAGAAAGAAAGAAAAATAAAGACATCATAACATGAACAAAGCACGCAGGAAAGAAAGAAATAAAGAAATAAAGAAATAAAGAAAGAAAGGAAGAAAGGAAGGAAATTCAGCAACTATCCCTTCAGGACACAAAGCAACTGAGCCCTTCAAATGGTGCAGCTATTGATCCGCTAAGATGACACAGCAATCGACCTCTTAAGATGACACACTTGTTGATCCCTTGAAGTGATACATCAAGTGACCCGTTCAAATGATTCCGTGATTGACCCGCTTAGGTGAGACATCACTTGGCTCTTCTCCTTTCCAACTACCACCTCTTCAGTACGGCCCTCCTGTTGAGAAAGCACCAACTGCTTTAAAGCACGCTACGACCAACCCGTTGAGCCGAGCCTTGTTGGGTCCTTCTGTTTACTTTGGGCCAGCAAAGAAGCGGGGACTGCGATAAGAGGTGACCTGCTGGCATGGCAAACTCGGTGGCTGCAGCCGAGCGGCTCCTTGAGGCGGTGCACCTCTCCCTCGACCCGAACCAACTCGCTGTTGGCCTGCTCTGACATCTCCTTAAACTCCTGGCCAAACGGGTGGGGCCGGCCCCCTCAACTTGGTTGACTTTAAAGTGGTTGGATTTCAACCACTCAACCACAATAAGCAAAAATATGCAAAATGTTTCCCAACAACAACCATGTCAAAAACCAAGTTGGGTTTGGCTCAGACTGAGAGGGCCCCCCGAAATGGTGGAATGAACTCACTCCTTCCAAGGCCTTTTTGGGGGACCTGTTCCGAATGCCCCCAACGTTGCTTCATCATCGCGGTGAATCAGTCAACACACTTACCATCAACACATAGGGCGCTTCCCTACTTCCCTGGACCTCAGCATGGCAATGCCTTTGTTGGTAAACGTCTCTTGAGTCACAGAAGCTCATGCTTGGCTTGAGCTCGGAAACCCAAGCCCCACGCAAAAGCATCTAGCCTCCATGTTTGGAGACTCTTATGTACACGTGCAAAACCCCAGGGACATTTCGTTGCTCGGAAGAAACCGAATGGACGTAGACTTCAAGGAACAAGAAAGTCATGGACTTGCAAAGGCTAACTCGAGCCACCTCGGGAGGGGGGGGGGACAAAGGAGGACCCCTACTCCAAATCCCTGAAACACGAGTTACGTTTTGGACCCTCTTTTGACTAGTCTTCCGGTTCCCCAAGCAGCTTGAACTCTAATTTGAAGGTTTAGACTGGGAGGATTTAGATGTGGATTTGTCTGGATTCGTTTGGGTCTTCAACAAAAACTTACGCTTGAGGGACACGTCATTGAAATGACCACTTCTAACGGCGGTTTAAAGGGGTTCCCACTCCCTTGGGAGTCATTTTGAGAACCCCCGCTTTGAGGCACCCAGGCTGAGAAAAAATGATGGCACTGGTGGAGAGCCAGACCTTCTAGGTTGAAAATTGCTCCCCCAAAAAAACACCAGCTGCTTTGCAAAAAAGAACAGGCATGGTCGCCTTCTTAGCCTGTGGCCTCCCCCTTGCACCTGGCATTGCGCCGCTTGCTGCCGCAGCCTTCGCAGCTCCTGACCATTGGACCGACTCACAGGTCCCTGGCACGCCATGAAACCGTTCAGGTTAACACCTAGAGGTAGGCAACCCGAAGGATCACAGTGGCGAAACTGGACGCGAATGACTTCCGCGGATTTGAGCGGATTGGTCACAGAGAGCGAGAGAGAGAGAGAGACAAAGCGCACGCGTTTGGTGCACCCAAAATGATCTTCCCCAAAGCTTAAAGTCCGTCGGGGAAGCATTCGTGTTCAACGAACCTCCTCTTGGTTTCAATAAATTTATCAGGAAATCAATTGTTGCATAGCAGAAACCACCCTTTTTCCAACACACCATGGTTGATCCCAAAAGTCTTGAGGGGCCCAGGGTCTGGCTGTTTCAACAGGGTTCTGCATACGCCTCCTTTAAACACCACCACCAAAGGGAATCCTCGAGCATGGTCCCGAAAGGTGAAGTTCCAACCACCCCAGGGAGGGTCTTTGCTTGAGATGTCTATCCTGCTCAAGCAAACTCGTTTTGTTTTCCATTCGGGGGTCTTGCTTCAAGCGGGTATGTGTCAAAGTCAGGAAAGATCCTGGATGGCGGTTTTTCGTTTGGGTGTTCCTTAAACCTTTCTGAACAACAGGCAAGGCGAAGTCGGTGGGTTGGATTGGTGCTTTGGGCATTTGAACCCCTGGTTCTTGTAGAGGGTAAATGGGAATAACCGCCACATCATTGATCCGAATCACTTATACGAGGGAGGCTGAGAAAGGGCGTCCGCAAAAACGGTTGTGTGGTAAAATAAGGAAACCTTTGCTCGGTTGCTTTCTGCTCCACTGCTAAAAGTGTTTAACTTTTAGTGGTTTAATGGAACACCCATTAGTTGGCAAAAAGTTAAAGTCCTAACATCCCTTGGCAAAATGCACCAAAGTTTGAACCGTGTCCTCAAGAACGGGCATGTGGTAAAATAAGGAAACCTTTAAACCAAGCTGAGAAGGGTGTCTTCCAAAAAACACGGCACGGGTTCCTGAGCTTTCGCACTGTCCTCCGGGCGTCGGTCATCCTCTTTCCGCCGGGCCGCAGGCTGGGGAGGCGACACGGACCGCGGCCTGCAGCCATGGGACGTTTTGGGGCAGCTGATGACAAGGGCCGAAATCTCCAATGATGGCTGTGGCTCAAAAAACCGGAATTCCAAATGAGCCGTGCCAAATACTCTTGTGTAAAAAGCGGTCCTATAAACTTGCTTTCGCGGACCCTTTCGCGATGCTTTCGCGACCCCATGTTTTGCTTTTGCGGGCTTTGGTTTCTTTAGAATTGCTTTCGTGACGCTTTCGCGGCGGAGCGTCACACAGCATGCAGGCTTTCGCGGGTCTTTCGCGGCGGGACTTTCTTTGGTTACTTTCGCGATAAGCTTTCGCAAGCTTTCGCGGCCTGCGTTTTGGCTTTCGCGGGGATTCTATAGGACACCCCCCTTTACTACTTTGTATTGTCAGGGTTTCTGGCGCTGCTCAAATGGGTTGCCCTGGGAAGTGGAAACATGGACCAAAACCTGCGGTTTGCCCATCGAGTTTAATTTTGAGCCACACTCAGATTGGGGCTGTGGAGTACTAACTCAATCCTGAAGGATAAGTTCTTTTACTGTGAATTGCAGCTCAATTACTGAGTGATCAGCCCTCAAAGGGCCCAACATGGATTTCGCGTTTATGGACTTCTACAATCAGCCTCTGGCTGTGAACTTACCCTAGAACGCCCTAGAAAAACCTAGAAAAATCGATTGAGCAAGGCAGAACAAATCGATGGAGCAAGGCAGCCATGTCAATGATTCCCCCGAGCGGCCAAGGGACGTGCAGGGGTGCCCTGAGGACTACGTAGAGCGATATCTGGGTTTGTCTCAAACAACTGGCCCCTTTCAACCACCCCAAAATGCATACCCCAAACGAAAAGCCATGCACACTGCTCAAAATCTTGAATGTCTGTAAAGGGGTCGTGGGAACATCATGGCTCCCTGGTTTTTGTGGGACGCTTAGACGTCGTCCCGCTATATCTCTGCCAAATGGACCACACTCACATGGCTGTGGCTCAAAACAAAAACGGAATTCCAAAATGGGTTGCCCTGGTAAGTGGAAACATGCCTCCGATCGTTTCATTTTGAGCCACACTCATATGGGTGTGGGTCAAAAATAGGTCCCCCAAAATGGAGTAAATGGACAAGTTGACCAAAACCGGCGGTCCATATCCTTGTGGTTTAATTTTGACCCAATGCCCATAGTTTGAGCGAGCCAGGACCATACCTGGCTCGAGGCAGAGCTCGCATTCTGTGCCAAGTCTCGCTGCTTTGGGCCGAGATGGTGCCGACCAATGCGAGTTGTTGCTCCTGGCTGGCAAAACACCCCGTCTGTTCAACGTGGAACCCACCAGAGGCTCCCTTGTAAAGGAAAGTGGTCTGCCAGGACCCCGCACGGCGGCATGCTAGTGTGTGGGACCTGAGGGTAGGTGTCTTTCTTGCACCTACTCCCCGGATTAACATGGAACTGCCCAAAAAGGTGCCCTTAAAATGGGAGTTCCTCTACACATGAGGGTCTTTGGGTTCCATGTGAAGCTGCAGGGAAGTAACTCAAGAGGCTTTCGCTGAAAAGGTAAGCTGGGGGTAGTTGAAACAGTTAGTCAGGGTAAGCAGGGAAGGCCACGGGGAGACTGTAAGGCTACAGCAAGACGGCGGAAAACTATGGGGAGACTACGGGAAGACAGCAGAAAGGCTAGAAAAGAACTACGGGGAGACTACGGAAAGACTGCGAGAAGAACACAGAAAGCCTACAAGAAGACTAGACCAACTACGGGAAGCTTTTGCAGCGATGAGCAGACTTCAAGACTTTGTCAGCGCGAGCACGCGGAAACGTGGCTCGAATGGTTGGAAGCTTGCTGGAAAACTACGGGAGGTCGGAAGCTGGTTTATCCTCCAGCGTGGCTTGAGCCAAGGATGCCTTCGGCCAAAGTGGATACACCAATTGAGCCAAACCCAGTGTTGCCACTGCAGCTGGTGCCGCCCAACCTGAAACTCCGATTCTTGCTTCTGGGCCGCCCTCAGATCCCTCGCTAAAAGTAAATAACTTTTAGTGGGTTAAATGGAAACGACCACTACACACTAAAAGGCTAAAAAGCTAAGGAACCGGATGGCCGGGAACCACCAAGTTCTGGCCTAGATTTGCCGAACTTTGATTGAAACAAGTCTAGTGACATCCAAGCAACATGGCACCCGGCAGGGTCTCCCTGGCTTCCACATACCCTCCAAATACCTTCTGTTCGTTCTGGGTCCTTTCTTAGTCCAGTTCTATGGGTATTATATATTTCTGGGATCACACGCATTCTTTAGGGTGCAATACCCATTGGCCCCGGGACGGAGGTTTGGGCGGCGACGATAGAATGGGCAAGTTGTGATCCAGCTAGAAACTCACTCAACTCTGGTATTGTCGTCCATACATATATTTATGCAAATATGTGGATATATATATATATATATATATATGATAGATGCACTTAATAGAAACACATACATGATGTTCTTTGGTCCGTCACCTGCCTTTGATCTAGTTCGCCTGGAAGAACTTAAGGCTCCCCACCCACAGACCCCCAGAAAAAAAGAAGAAGAAACAAACAAGAATAATTTAAGGCTTCCCACCCACAAACCCCCAGCAAAAAAAAAGAAAGAATAACACACATATTTCGACGCGTGTAGAAGTCGCGGACCTCGTGGATGATCTTCCAGACGAGGCCACGGAAGGAGCCTGACCGAAAGCACGAGGCTGAAATGGCGAGGCACATCTCCTGCAGTTTTTGTGATTTGGACCCATGGACCCACGGCCTGTATTTTGCTGCAATTTACCAGGGTTTTGTGGTTGGACGTTTTTTGGTTCACTATAGGTGGGAATCCAACGTAGAACCACCAGTCAGCCGGAGGGATGAAATGGCCATGGGTCCAAGTCCAAATCGGTTAGCCCCCAGTGAACATCCGATTCAATCCAACCACTAAAATAGGAAGCCTAAAATGGGTGGTGAACTCACCTACCCCAAAATGGGGTCCCATTGGTTTTGACCCAGAACCAAATAACATCCTTTTTGGAGGAATCTCCTTTTGGGGGACCTCCTTGTTTAAGCGTGTGTACCACCATCAGAGGTATGTGCACAGGACACACCTATGTGGAAGATGGGCGTTGTTCATTGTCACTCGCCCCTGTGCTTTATGTTTCCTTAGTCAGTGTATGCTTCACAACAGATGTGGCAAAGTAAGCCCAGCCCACAAAAGGGTGCCAACTCCAAAAGGGACCCAGCCCCAAAAGGTTTCTACACTGACGGGCAAGCGCGTTGGCGCCTAGATCCCCACCCATTGGAGCAAAAACCTGATCTCTACACAAAGAGAAGATGTGGACCATTTTTGAAAATAGTTCCCCCCTCCCTCCCGCACCGGGAAAAAGGTCCCGAAGAAAAGCACACACACACAAACCAAAAAAGGACACACACACACAGAAACACACACACAAACACACACACACACACACACAAACACACACACACACACAAACACACACACACACACAAACACACAGGCACATTTCGAAGGCCAAGCATGAATGGTTGGAGGGAGCAACCAACGTCTCGTTTACATTCATTGAGAGGAAGGCTAAATGTTGATTTTCTTCTGGCTTCCCTAAACCTCCAAAAGGCCAGCCTCAGGACAACCTTCACATTTTCGGGGTCCCCCATTCTTGGCAACACCCGAAGCCTGTTTGGATGGCTTGAAACCGCCCATTTAGGACTCAGTTGCCCGCTGACCCAAAGGAATCGAGCCCATTTCATGGCAAGGACAATTTTTCAGGAAACCCGCCACACCCAAATTGGACTTAGACGTTGAATCGACTGAGCCGGGATTCTCAGATTCAGGAACATCACCAAGGGTGTTGGACGTTGAGATGAACCGTGTGGGATTTCCAAGGAGCCCGCCTGATCTTTTGTCACTCCGAAAACCATTTCCTCATTCCCGGCTGAGAGGTCGAAGTCGGGAAGGAGCCCCAAACTCACATCCATCCAACTGGTGGTTTCCTTTTTCATAACTCCAAACCGCCCCCCCCCCCCCCCAACCCTTTTGACATCCATGAGAAGCCGCACCCCAAAACGCCCTCCCTCCCCAAACCCCAAAACCCCAAAACCCACAACGCCCTCCCTCCCCAAACCCCCCGAAATCTGAGAAGCCGCCACCCCAAACGCCGGTTGCTTTCTGCTCCCCTGCTAATGCTTTCTGCTCCCCTGCTCAAAGCTTAACCTGTAGTGGACCAATAGGGGAAAACCCATGCGTTGGCAAAAGGTTAAAGTCCTAACATCCCTTGGCACAATGCACCAAAGTATAATATGTATATATACTTATGCCCCCCCCCCCCCCCCCCCCAATTTGCCAAAAAAAACACCAGGAAGGGCAAAACCGGCCCAGACCACTGGAATTTCCACGCAGCTCGCCCACCCCGACTCCCTGGGAACCTCCAAAGCGGCGCTCGGTTCTCTCGGGACTCCGGGCGGTGCAGGGCGTGCCGAAGGCCGTGGGCACCGCGTCCTCCCCCGACTTCTGGAGCTGCTCCACGACTCCTTCAGCTTCGGCGCAAGGCGCAAGGCGGCGCAAGGCGCGGGGGTGAGCCCCGCGGAGCGGATTTTGGTCTGCGGAAAAACCACACCTATGGGGGAAAAAAGAACCTATAGGGCCAAAATAATTTCAATCTCCAGGGGATCCATGACCCCACCATACGTGAAAGGGTGATGTGACCATGTGGGCCCAAAAGTGGCCGGGGGCCATACTCGAGCAATAACTAGGTCCTCCAGTAGAGAGGTTAGAATAAGGCCAGTTTGCACATCGAGAGCGAGACACATGGACATCAAAAGTGCCAGGGGGGTGGTTTCAAGGTCCCAGCTGTGTACGTGAGTGTGATTCGCCTCTGCAACACGCGGTTCAAGCTCATTCAGTTTCAGCCTGTTTTGGGGAGCAACCTGCCTGGCATCAACGAAGCCTCGTGTAATAGCATTCATGGGTTGAAGCAAGTCTGGAATCTGCAGAATCCTTGCTTGTTCAGCTCTTGACAGGTTGTGCTTGCAAATCACAAGCTTGAATACCTCGAGCAAAGGTTGCGCACGAATTCATGTCTGGAGATATAACAAGAAGGCTTACACCAAACTAAATGAACATACCATGCCGGTTTGCTTCCCTGCAAACTCTGGCACAGTTTGCGAGCTCCTTCCAGAAAGAGGTTCAAAATGTCCACGATCCGCAGCTTTGAGATGCCTGGCCAAGGATCCAAGGGCACCCCCTCGGGCCCTGGGTTATGTGGCTTTGGGCCCCCCCAAAATGCCGACGTGCTTTGCAAGGCAAAGCAAAAGTACCAACAAATTGAACCCTTCTGGCCTCAGAGCCGCGTTCAAATGTGTGGCTGTGTGTGACAACCATGGACCGAGCCTAGCAAAACACGAAGCTTTGGCAAGAGGGTGCGAGTTTTGACACATGGCTGTGGGACCCCCAGTGAACATCCCAACCCCCACTATAGACTAAAATGGGTGGTGAATTCACCTACCCCAAAATGGTACATTGGTGTTGACCCACAGCCACATACGTGGTCGACCCGATTCGTCCAGACTTCAGACCTTGCCCGTCTCCTGTAGACTCCCTGTCCGGCCCACAAAAGGAAAAGAACCTTCGCCATTTAAAATGTCCAGTGCTGCGGAGCGCCTGGAATTTCAGAAGAGGCATTCTGCATTGTTGAGGGAACCTGGCCTTGAAGGGTGTTTGTGTGTGTGTGTGTGTCTGCGTGTGTGCGCGTTTATGAGATTGTCAAGTCTTGTCAAACCCAGGCGCACTCAAACAAAGGGAACCTGTGAAGACACCCGTGTTTCGGCACTCCAGCAACGACAGACTAGGATTCCAGCGCGAGATTCCTTGTCTCATCCATTCCAGCAACACTTGCCCAAACTGCACGGGAAATCATGATACTGTTGTTTGTTGTGCACCTACTCACCTCAAAACTGGCCATTCGAAAAGTTGTAGTTTGGAACAGCAACCACGGGAACCGTCTGGAGGTCTGCGTCAACATATATATATATATATGTCTATTTGCACATCCAACACGTGCACATATTCTTGGCATGTTGCTGCACTGGCCCTCTTGGATTTTTGAAGGCACTTTCGGCACTAAGTCGCTTTTGAAGACCAACCCCCGACTCCGGATGTCAAGCTCGCCGATGTTTTAATGGACAACGGCGGCGACTCATCGGGGCCTGGCGGCAGCAAAGGGCCGCGAAGGCATCGCTTGGGGTCGACCCCCGGCACGGCGGCGATGTCCTCGAAATCCGGCGCTTGCCACGTGCCAAAAAGGGCCGAACTTCAGTATATAGAAGTCTTGTTTCACAGTCACTCATAGCCCCAAAGCAGCGCTAGCTACTTATAGCCCCAAAAGAGATGTTCACGCTGTGGGGGGGGAATACAGCCATGATCAGAGAATAAAGTGTGACATTGCTTAGCTCTTACGTACGCCCTGGGGTGCGCATGGAAAAGTTTGAAACATGGCCCGTGGTCTTTTGGCTTCTGCATCATGTTCCTCCATGAAGCTTTCTGTTTTAACATGTCAAATAACATATGGGAGGAGTGTAGTATTCAGATCCATAAAGGAAGCAGCAGTGCCATGGAATGAATGAAGCCAGAACCACAAATGGATAATTGCCTTCCTAAAAGTAAGAAGCCCAGAAACTCACAACAATCCTGCAGAGCCACCCTCTAGCCAGAATCAGGACCATAAACCGCGACCTTGAGTGGCAAGAAGCAACATGCACCGTTTTGAAGCCGACCTCCAACAAACAGTTGAACAAAGGAAGCAATCCACTGAAAGTCTGAGGCATTTGCCAGAGAACGCTCAACAGCTTGCTCAAAGCAGCTAACACTTTCTGGCATAAGATTTCAGGATTGACTTTGAACAACCCAGCCAGGAACAACTCATTGTTGGATACTTGGCTACAGTGGAAGCCCCCCTCTGAAGGTCTGGCAAATGGAACTCCATGGATCACCCTATCTCGGGGGTTCGTATTATTTCCCGTTCAAACATCGCCGCTACCAAGTGGAACTCAGCAAAGTCAGCTTGAATGGGCCAGACAGCTGATGCTGAAAAAGCCACCAACAATGCACATTTAGGGATCCCCGTCCCTTGTTCCGTTCAAGGAAACTCTCCTGCAGGGCGCTGTCCAGGCGCACAGTGGCGTCCTCCGACCCGACGCCAGCGGGAGAGTTTTGGTCCAAACAGAAGGGAGAAGGCACACCCTGCCCACCCCCACCCCCCATGCCCCAGGGAGGATTCTTAGAATCTTCTTCAAGTGGAAATGTGGTGAGTCCTATTCCTTTGTCCTTGCTGAAACCACTTCGAAGGAGACCGACCTATTTTCCTGCCGCAATCCAAGGGTAGGATCCCGTGCATTACCTTCAAACAAGTAAGTTTGTTGATGGAGTTGCAACGCGCGGTGGATTCTCACATCGTCACACGCAAGCAAGCTTTCCTGCTGCAGCCGTAGCCTGGGCCGCTGGGGTGGCATAGATTTTTTCCCCATGCAAAACAGCTTGAAGGCTCCTTGCCGGGCTGCGCCTAGAGAATTCTATGCTGTTGCTTCTTTGGGTAGGCCTGGGTGCATGTGATCACCGAGCCTGGGTGAGGTCCCAAACCTCAACCATTGTCAGGTTGCTGCCGAGACTTGACGCCAGCTGATTGACGCGGATCCGACGCCCGCGCAAAAAGAAAACAGCTCTGTGGGGCAGAATTGCAGCAACGGCAATGCTACGAACCACACATTCTCGATCTTCCAGCCGCTCCTGCGTAAAAGTGGCAGTATCAACGTTGACACTTCAGGGCTTCAGCCTGACGCTTCCTACAGTCCGGCCCTACAAATCTTTTTTTCGCTGTTGCTTGGCTCGCATCTGGCAGTCTGGGGCGTGCTAGTGGGGAAGCCCCGCCGAAGGAAAAAACACTGCGACTTGGAGGGCGCCAACAACGGGGACCGGCCACTCTGTCCTGCGCTCGGACTCCACCTGCGGGTTCGGCCCTTTTCAACGGCTCAAACGCCCCGAGTGTGAGAAAGGCTCGTTTTCTCACGCCTAGTACCCTGTTTACTTGTCTGAAAAGTGGAAACACGGCGACGCTGCCCGTTTGGGGGATACCTGTAGAGACAAATTCAAGGGCTTCATTTGGAGGTAGGAGCGCTGAGTATGACAAACACGTTTTGTGGAGTCACCTAATTTTGGCTAGTTTCTGATTCTGAATTGCAAAGTGTTCCGTGCATGCGCTCGCTGTCTGTTGGTATTCCCCATTTGTGTGCTTCCCAAGATTGGGAACAGCTCCAAATGGTTCGTTTCCGTGTGGTTTCACATTCAAATCAACAAAAGGATCCCTGTCTTGAAGCCTAAACCCTCCAGTGGCCATGGGGGAAAAGGAATTATACTTGTTTTGGTAACCAATTTCAAAGGGATCCCCCTTGAACAAGAAGCACCTCGCTGGGATATGTATCACATTCAGATCGACCGTGTCACTGCCGCACAACTCGGCATCTGATTTCGCTGCTTCCAAGCCCGCCTTCCATCGCTCGTGGCGCAGGAGCCGCCTGGGACAAGCCCCGCCCCCTTCTCCAAGTGACACAGCCGCGCATCTGGGAAAGTTGATTCGGGGGGTTCGGACAGTGTAGGGTTTAGGGTTTGGGCTTAGGGGTTTGGGGGGAAAGTTGACTTGGGGGGGGGGGTTGGACATATGCGCTGTTTGGCTCCCTTTGGAACATCTGCAACCCAAAGCTATAAAGGATACTCAACACCCACCAGCAATTTCCTCAGAGAGGGCGGCCACGAGGCTTCTGGAGCCTGGGAAGTTGGGAATCTTGTTTTCGGTTGGAAGCGCTGATTCGAGCAGAAAGGTGGGTACCATTTTTGATTGGAAGCCAACTGCAAAAACGTGGAAGGGAAGAACCCACTGAACAACTGGGCGCTTCCAGAGCTTGATCCTCTTGTCTAAAACTTTGAGCAATGAACATGCGCCCCCCCAAAAAATCGCCTAGCATTATGACATTGTTGCAGCCACACACTGAGGTGTCTTGAAATCTTTATTTTCAAAAACAAAAACATCGATTTCATTATCCTCAACACTATCCTCTTTTTTTTTTTATCCTCATCGGTTCTCATTATCCTCCAGGTTATCATTTTTTGTTTGTCCTCATCGTTTTTCATTATCCTCAAGATTATCACTGCTTTTCCTCGTCGTTTTTCATGATCTTCCTCGCCTGCCTGCCTGCCTGCCTGCCTGCTCGCTCGCTCGCTCACTCGCTTTGCTTTGCTTTGCTTTGCTGGGCTTGCTTTGGTGGGTTTGGGCCGTGTTCCCTTCAGCTTCAGCCATGAAACAATCCATAGAGCTTGCGCCTAGTTGGAGCCATTTTGCGCAAGAAAGCTGGGCGAGTGTAGTGCGTATGTCCGATATATGCAAGAAACTGAGCAGATGGAACAGCTTCTGTGGAGCGTGTCTGAAGGTGGCTGTTTTGAAGCTCGTTTCAAATCGTGTTCCAGGCTGGAGAGAAGGGGAGGACAATAAGGAGGACTATTTTTGGAAGGTTGATGTCAGGTAGGATAAATTGTTGGATGATTTTTTGAAAATGGATTCCGGTCAGGATGATTTTTCGAAGACTGTTCGATGATTGTTCGATGATTGTTCGCAAAAAAAAAAACAGAGGGTTTTGCAACTGTTTGCTTTTCCTGACCACTGTGAAGGGGGTGTGGTCCAGCAAATGTGGGTTGGGGATGATTTTCGAAGATTTTTCGAAGATTGTTCGATGTTTTTTTGGAAAACAAACATATATTTTTGCAACGTTTTTCCTGTCATTCTCAGGAGTGGGGCGGGCATCCGGGCTCAGGAAGAAAGATGACAGAGGGGAGAAGGGAAAGGGGCGAGGACGGGGAAAGAAATGAAAGGAAAGGAAGAGGAAGAGCGAAAAGGGAAAGAGGGAAAAGGAAAGGGGAGAGGACAAGGAAGAGAAAAAAGAGAAGGGATATGGAAAATGGAAACAACAAGAGGGAAATGGAAAAGGGTAAGGAGAGAAGGGAACGGGAAGGAAAAGCAAAAATGGAATCGCAGAGAATAGAAGCGATGTGGAGGAGGGATGATCGTTGGATAGGTTTGAGGATACCCAAATCGATGAAGGTTGAAAAAACAATATTTCAAGATTTCCAGTCTCTGGCTGGCTAAACAAATCATAAGCCTAGCATTTTCGACAATTCTGGCAAGATCATTAGAGGTGTCAAAGCAGGGAGACCCGCAACACGGTGGGGCGCCTTTTGGTTTCCCTTCAAACTAAGGTGAGAAGGGTAGCCTCCAGAAGCAGACACAAAAAACACATATACACACACATTCACACACACACACACACACACGTTGTGCGGAACACGTTGTCCGACAGTCTGAGAAAGGGAGCTACGATTTGTGGAAGATCCAATACGGCTGAGGGGTGCTCGCGTGGCGGTACTCAGTTGTCGGCGGGACTCGGAGGCTCATGGACATCCACAAGTGACAGAATCGCTCTCTGTCTTTTTCCTGTTTGTGCAAGCGGCACCCAAAACCGTGTGACCTTTGCTTCTACCCGCCTGGTCATACAGAACAAGGTAGTTAGTACTGAAAGCTATCCTCCTTTGTGATTGCAGGATGTTTGTTTGGGTTTGGCTATAACAAACGTGCAATTTTGAATGGGCATCACTCCCGTGCCCAATGCTTTGCTGCGCACTTCGGGCTCGGGCTTCTCCGCAGTGACGGCAGTAGGCCACACCAGCTGCTAAGAGGTTCCCGCAGCACGGACACTCCTGGCCAAGAAGACTGAGGGATCCTAAACTGACTCACTGAGTTTACATTAGAGACGTTGAAACTTTTTGTGCCTTATGAGGAAGAAACTAACAACAAGTTTCAGGAAGTAAAACTGTAAAACTGCCCCTGTATATAGAAGGCCATCTAACACCTAAAAGTGGCAAAGGAGGGGGTCCTAGAAGTTTGTCTAGTCGTGCGCGGATGAGCGGGCCAATGCCGCACCAGCTAACCTTGCATCAAAGCATTGGGATACCCCTTTGGAATATCATTCAAGAGATTCAAAAAGACACCGACCATGGTCCGACCAGGGGGCCGGTCCCATGAGACCTGGTTACTAAAAGGAGAATCCGACTGGTGTGAGGCTGTGAGGCCGGAAATCCATGGGCAGGAAGGGCAAACTACATGTGACTCAGGATTTGCGCTACATTCCAGCGGGAACCAGGATTACAAAACGCCAGCCCTGAGGAATTCACTCTTCTCCTCTTGCCTACAAGGGCAATCGAAATAGACTCTCACTCTTGAACAAAAGGGGAGGCTCTTCCCCCGCACACTTAAACCAGTATATTGTGCGGAGTGTCTCAAAATGGGTTGGGTGTTTAAAGCGATGTTATTTTGACGCTCCATTTGATCCAGAAAGCCAATGGACACCTGCTTTCTGTGGTTGATGTTAGGTTGGACATCAGGGGTAGAGACTCCTGTGGTCAGGGTCCTGTCAATTGGATTCCACTGAGAAGGTCCCATGATAGAACTTTCAACCAGCCTGAGGCCTGCCTAGATCCTATTGTGCCTGGGGTCAAGCCTCTTCTTGGGGTGCCTTTGTCAACCACTTGCCAGCTGTGACCCTTTATAACCAACAGGGGAAATGCCCAGAATCACCGGCAGAAATCGACAGTTTGTCCCGCAACAAACCAAAGTCCCCAGCAAAAGGTTCTTACCACCTCAGAAGCTCGCAGGCTCTGCAAACCTTTGGGGCTGGCAGGCCTTTTGTTTCTGCCCGCTTGCCTGGCCTCTGATCCCATCTTTGGCCATTCGGCTCAACTTCGGCTTTTGAGCCGAGAGCAAACACAGCAGCAACGGATCGGAGCCAACACTGGGCGCCACGCTACAATGAAAAGCAAGAGAAACGACCCAACCCACACACATGCCTTTGCTTAGTTTGGTAAGTCGCTTGTAAATAACTGAGCCAACCAGCCAAGCCCCTCAGGACTTGCAGTCACGACTACAGTAGGTGACCAAACAAAAACAACTAACAGTTCAAATCTAAAGGCAAGACCCTTGGGTGCTCACCCGGTGCTTCTTTCCGTTGTGGGTAGGGAAACCATCAGGTACAATCTACGTAGCGGTCAGGATCGCTGGCTGCTAACTCCAGTGGCTTGCCCAGAAGTGCAGCCGGGTCAGCTCCCCTATTTCACGAGGCTCGCTCGCATTTTTTTCCGGTGCATCTCGGCGCGGGAATGTCCTGGAGGCCACCAACAAATGAAACCGGGTGGGAGTGGTTCCATTTTTGGAGTGCACTGTAAAGGCCCCAACAAAAACACCCAACATGTTCCTCCTACGTCTAAATTTGGTGTTCAAGTACCCTACCGGTCACAACCCCAATCTAATTATGGATCTCCCTTTTGGGGTTTGAAGGACCCCCTTAAAGGAAACCAATCGTTTTGGGGGTCTCCCGAAAAAGCCGACACATACCCACATTTCTCAAGGTTGACTCCAGAGTCAGGCGAGATAACACCTGGTCTGAACCAGCCTATCGTAATCAGCAACCTAGCCTGTTCGAAATCCCACGGGGGCCCAATCACAATCCGCAATCCGCGTAATCCTCGCTGTGGTGGGTAATCTCCTTAATCCGTAATCCGTGCTGCGAATTGTGGGTTTAAGCCTTAGAGCATCGAAATTCGGTGCAACCTGCAATCCGAAATCCACATACCCCAATCCGTAAACCGCGTACTCCGCAAAACGCTAATGGTTGGGGAGCAGGCTTTGAACAAGCTAGACAATTGACACCTACGTCTACCTTCTCCCGCCCACCTCCTCGCCCGGAACCGTTTGATCTGAGGTCCTTCTGGGGGAAAAAACGGTTCATTCACCCAACGTTAATATTTACTGAGCCCAAAAATGCCACGCCCACAAACCTTGAATCCTTCAGTCCTTCAGTCCTTCAGCTCAGGCTGCAGCCTGCGGAAAAAGGAAAAGAGCCAGCTGCGAGGTATGTCCCAAGCTGGCCGGAAACGCGCGCAAAAAATGGAGAAGATCAAGTTTGCTTGAACCGCCCCAAAAACTGGGGAGAATGTACTGACCCCCGTGGGTTTCCACACCCTTTGACGGCTTGGCCGTAGGGAACCCTGCACAAGTTGGTGGGTTCCCGCCAGGTCTGACTGGGCTCTCATCCCGGCACCTCCAGCCGTTTCCTTCCCCTTCTCAATCCCTTTCTTGGTCAAATGGATGCCCTCGGCAAAAAAAGAGAGGGGAACCACCATGAATCTAGCAGGTGCCGCTGGGCAAGAATCGAAGCCGGGCATGGAAGGGTCTACCCAGGTGTCAACTGCGGACCAACCGAAGATACCGTACAAGAAAAAATAACGAAGGCGTCTGGCAATGCGCAGGAACAGAGGCAACACAAGCAACCTCCAAGTGCAAAGCCAGCAGCTCCAAGGTAAAGAGGAGCGAAGCTATCCCAAACAAAGATGCTCTCTCGGACGTTGTTCACAACAGTCGTCCTCATAGGCGTCCTTTTGGAAAAATAGATGGGTTTCCCTGGTAAATGGAAGAAAAAAACCATCTAAACCAGTGCCTTCTGTTTTTAACCAAACTCACCTAAAGAGGACACGGGGGACAACAAACAAAAACAAGTGTCGGTGCCACAACGTGGACGAGCCACAGGATCAATGTGTCACTGAGCATCCCTCTCGGGCAACCAAAGTGGGAGGATTTTAAACTTGACACTTTCCCAATGCATGCATTTCTCTCATGTGTGCTATGCTAAACACTTCTTAAGTGGGCCGTGGTCATGGTTGCCCAAAGAAAACCGAGCTTGCCGTTGGGACCAAGATCAGTGCCGACCCTGGTTTTGCTCTTGAGAAGGCCTTTCCAGTTGCTTTTCCTTTGCCGGGGGGGGGGGGCGGTTGGGGTTCGACATGGGTGGGTGAGTGGGTGGGTCACTTTGGCTTCTGCGCAGGCGCTCGCTTGGTGAATTCCAACCGGCAGTTCGAGGGGGGGATGCTATGCTCACGTACAAGGATACCCACATTTGAAGAGAAAGTACCTTTGGGCAGACCCCTGTGTCGGCGTCGATGGTGCAGCTGCGCTCGTAGCTGAGTTTCGGTTCGTGCAATGACTATGCAAAAAATGCCTTGGTGTCTGCCTCTGAGAAACCAGCCCTAAATGGTAGCCCCATAAGCCCAGGACTTTCAAGCCCTGACTTTTCTGGAAAAAACACATTCCCTCGTAAGTCACCACATTCGTTGATCTTGGTCCCGACGCACGGCAAAACTTACTACAGGTCCATGACCATCCCACCAACCCATAGCTCTATACATGCAAGGCTCGGACAATCTCATTTGCTCTAAGAGGGCATGGACA